TTATTATTATATATATTTCTCATGCTTCCCAGATCTAAATATTGTGTGCTATTGTCGTATTATATTTCCTCTGTATTACTGAGTTATTTACTAATTTCTGTAAGCCTCGTGGCATATCTTGAGTAATACGAGAAGTTATGTATCCATTTTCTTAAATAATAATAATAATAATGATAATAATAATAGTAATAATAATAATAATAGTAATAATAATAATAATAAAACAGAGTGAAATCAAATAAAACTGTCTTTATTCTTACATTTTTTGAATTACCTTCGACTGCAATCTTTCCAAATTTTTCTTTTATTTAATACTACTTAGTTTTTTTCATAAATAGTATTAAAGCAGCATTTTAAAGCTTACTAATTCAGTTACTAAAATTCAGTGAAGTAAGTCCGAATCAGTGAAAATTAAAGATGTTTTAAAAATTAAGAATTAAATTTCAAATTTAACTTTTAATTGGAAGGTATACATAAAACTGGATTTTAAAATTAACTTATTAGGAAAGTAAAAAATAAAATTAGATTTTAAAATTCTAAAATAACTTGAGAGCAAAATATATAGAATTCACGTAGGGTTAAGAAGGTTTATGTTGGAAGATTTGCATTTAAATACTGATCACATGCCACAGTTATCTAGTCAGATTAATTTATGGATGACCAATTAGAGTCTTCAGCTTTACTCAAGGCGAGCTCAAAACTAATAAAATTTAAATTAAACAAGGAGAATACCGACCCTTGATTACAATGCATGGTTGGGACTGATGAATCATGGTTATAACAAAAATATTCAGAAAATCCAGAGAAAATATTTGATCTTTATTACTTTATTAATTAGAATTATTGGTGCATATTATGTACTTGTATCCATTTCTAAGCTATGCTGGAGAAAATTTATGATCATACGGACTCTTTTGGTGTTCAAAAGCTTTAGAAACGTTTCTGATATGTAGAATTCATTTCATATCCTAATTCTAAACCTACGGAGCCGTGAGTACCAGATCCATTACTGCTGGGGCTCCCGGACGTGATGGTATTAAAGGTAATAAGCAGACAGACATTACAGCAAAGTCCGCTGTTGATTTGTTCAGTCGGCTTGTCCATTGATTAGCATATTAAAATACTCATTAAGCGAAAAATATCCAATCAACAGCAACACTTCTGGAATTGTAACACACTACTTTAGCTTCATAATAAGCTTGAAACCAAGAGTAGAACATTTGGAGGTTATTAGAAACCAGAAGAAAGAAGCCCTGTGAACTCGTCTTAGAATTTGTCACACTCGAGTTACACACAGTTGCTTTCTAAAAAATGAGTGTGAATTTGTTTGTTCCAACTGTAAATCTGCTTTCGTTGTGCGTCACTTTAAATAAATTGATCGTGTTATAAGACTTCGACTAAAGTATTTTAATAACTGTAACCTATCACTCGACAGTTTAGTCTGGAAGCAGGTTAATTTGAATTTATTTCAGTATGTAAAAGAAACTGGGTTGCATAATTTAGTAAAATTTTAATGTGATTCATTTATTGTATTAAGTGTTATAATTTATTTTATGTTTTGAAATTTTACCTGAGTTTATACTTGCATTCCTCCTGTTAATTTCATCCATCTGTTCAACATAAAATTATTGTTTTCTATGTTTTGCATTAAAACCTATAGTGAAGTTATAGTTTTATTTGTTTTTATACTTCCATTCATGTTGTGAGTTTGATTTATCTGGCCCTCATAAAAATACTGGATTCCCACCAGAATATTATTTTCATTGCTTTATAATTTTATTTTAACAAGATGGACTCTATTTACCACATGTGTGACGTATTGTAACAATGTGAGATTATTCGCTATTAAATTCACAAATCCACCCCATCCAAGTCATTGTAACCCATTTCAGTTATTTAGATGAATATTAATTTACGTATTGCACCTCTGAATATCATCCAGTTTTATGAGATTAAAGTCAAAAAGTATATTTGTTGGTTCATTCTTCCACTTGTAGAGTCACTGGGCTGTCACGCGTACTGCATATTTCTAGAAAATTTTCTGCATGTCGTGAAAAGGACATTTGCTGTCATACAGAAGATTCATATTAAGAACAAAAGTATCTATAGCGATAAATTCTGACAGTGTAAAATCCTTTAAAGCATCAAAAACATCTTTAGAGTTTATGGGAAATCGTTATAGACAAAAAAAATCAAGAACGTTTTGGTAACAAGAACATTGAATAAAAGTTTAGTTAACTGAAAATTAGCTTAGGAATCTGCGATAGGTTTGTAAGATCTATCAAATCATACTCGAAGAAAATTCTTATGAAAGCCTTGTTCAGATAAGAAGAAATTGTAGCTGCTGTTTCTGAGGAAGTAATCTTTAACTCGCGAACTATATAAGTTAGGTTGTATCCATCTAACCTAATCTAATACCAGCACATTTCCTCTTAATCACTAATATTTGTGCTAATTTATCATTTATATATAGTAAATATTAGCTTTAATACTATTTATGAAAACACTAAGTATATCAGTCAACCAAGTCTGTGTGCGGGTATGTGCGGAACATTATCTAAGCGTGTTGCAGAAATTTTGGAAGCGGTGGAATACGTGCTTCAAATGAGAAAAAGTCATCATATTTAAATACTGTCTTCTCGCTTCTTCTGAAAACTCGAGTTGTTCTTCTTCATTACAACAAACGTCAGAGTTGTTCCGGAAGATAAGGATTGTAACGGAATGTTATTCTGGTTGAGACAGAAAGTTACGTTTGTGAATCAATTTCTTTGGTCAACGACAGCGCAATACCCCTTACAGTTTAATTCTATATATACATCATAAGTGGCTGAAATGTGGTAAATATAATGTTTGATGAACTAATAGTTCATTTGGGAGATATTATGAATGATCAAACAGGGAAACTAAGCGCCAAACTAATTTGATGATTATGAAAAGCAACATTAGCTTGATGTTTAGGGTACAAGAAAAAACACCATTCATTTGGTCAACAGTAGCCCAATACACCTCTCAGTTCGATTGCTGAAAGTGGCTGCTTTTGAACTATCTTTGTTGTTAATGCCGTAATTCTCAAGAACTTGTATTTAGTATCTGTAAATAACAGAGTAAATTCATTGTATGAGTGTATTTGAATTTCTTTACTTCCAACCTGATTCCTACATCTCACACACAAAACAGTGTTCATCCCTGAGATGTTTATAGTCGTCCCATACTCTAACGCACGAATCAAAGAACTATTCTATTAGCAAGCCATATGGGTAACTTCTATACCACGTTGTTTTAAATACTATCATGAATTTTAAACCAGACGCTTAAGTATCATTACCACAATTTACGATAACGCTTTAGCCAAATTCATTTGCTACTCTTTAACTGTCCGTCATTCATTTCACCAGAAATTCTGATAAGGATTTAAAAGAAAACTATATGTATTTTGAGTGTTATTCTAACTCCTCGTAGTAACAACAACACAAACAAAACTTTGCTGTTTAACATATGTAATAGGAACTCTGTCTATGCAATCCCTTTAAAGGTTTATCGACTGAAATGTTATGCTTTCACGTTATAAGGTATTTCTCCCGCTTTTCTAGAGTGCCTTCGTGGTGTAGTGGTTCTGCACACTGGGCCAGTATTCCAGAGGTCCGTCGTTCGACTCCCGGCGAAGGCGATTGCTTATTTTCCATCTTGTCTACTTCCAATTAACCTAATGTCTCTACAACGTGAATTCACATATTTATATGATTTCCACTCAGTGTCAGTGGGTCAGTTTTGTCTCTTATATCAGTCGATGACGTTAGTGGAGTTTTTGATGTTCGCGATATATATTCACAAATATATATATATATATATATAATTTTGTTTTCGCCTTTGATTCTAAATGAGTGAACATCAATAAATATATTATCTTATATTTTAATATTTTCTGTCAAGAAGCACTCCTGTCAACGAAAGTCTTATTTTCTATTAACAAAGACCTTCCAAATTTTCAACGCCATTTCTACGCACTTGATTGAACCTTAGACCTCTATCAAAGTTTATCCAAAGAGAAAGAGAATCACTTGTTTTGTATACTAATAGGGATTCTAAGCGTTCTTAAATTTTAAGCGTTCTTTTTTTGTGGGTGTTTAGGAAATGTTGTAATCAGTATTAATTAATTATTATCACAGAAACTATAATCCATTTCTCTTTGCGTATAGTTAAACCTCTAACAAATTTTAATGCATCATGAAAGATACAAGGACATGTTGAAAAGAATGTATTGTATTTTAAATGAGTTGAAGGGTGAGGAAGAGAAAACTGTGTCAGAAAATATGAAAAGTGTGTTAGATAAAAATGATGGAGTACTGCTCTTTTTAAGATCGCAGATGAGCCGTCAGGAGAAACGGCTTACCAGATGATGTATAAGAAGGCTTAGAACTTACGGAACGCTGGATTCTTCACGAAACCTTTCTTAGTTTTAATGCAAGGAATTTATATTACTGAATGTCTGTAAACTTATCATCATAAATTATTTTGTTTAATGCTATACTTTGTGTGTTGTTTTGTTCATGTTCAATGATTTTACGATTATTACCCCAAAAAAGATTAATACTTTCTATTGGTTAACCAATAGATGTAGTCCTTTATAATTTAGCCGCTTCCTAACTCATAAATATTCAAAAGTATTCTATGAGAAATAAAGAGACTGTATTTTACATCTATACAACGTGCTCTTCCTTTGCGTTTTACTGGTAGATTTTTTAAAGGTAAATTTCACACACGTGTATATTATAAATAATTCTTTTTCCCCGATCGGATGATCGTGGAAAAGGAATTATTTATTTATTATTTATCATAAAGGTGTGAAGGTTAGATGTCGTGAAAAAGGTGTGGAAGGTTAGTCGTGGAAGGTTAGATGTAACAGCAAATACCCAAAATTCTTAAATCATAAAACTTGCATCCTGTTTCTTCAAAGAAAAAGAAATGCAGCCGTTTCTAAAAATATTTCTTTTTACTTTCAGAGGCTTGGAAAAAGGGACAAATATTATTGCTTTTATGGCTTCTAGGGAAGAAAATCTATCACATTACTTTCATCAATGCAGCCTCATTCTCCGACACAACCTACGGCAGTAATCATACCGCAGCTTTGGAAACAAGATTTGCAAATAGCAAGGTGGCTATTACAAGGTATTTAATAGTCGTAAACTAAATAAATGGGCATTTTAAGAAACTGTGAAATCTCAGAATGTATGTTTTCAACATCCAGGGTTTTAGAGATGTTAATATAAATTCCAGAAGTTAAGTTTGATATTCTCATTGACTTACGTTTTATTTATTTATAGTGGAAAAAAACAGACTGCGTCATATAGCAGGTCAGCCGCCACTTCAATAATATATAAAAAATATTCTTTTCTCTCATTTTTCTAAATAAAAAAAGGATTCTATAGTACATTAGATAGTTAAATTGAATTATTTCTTTTTCATTCATCTTATCCAAAAAAATATTATTTTCTGCAAAGATCAGATTTTATGTTGCATTAGTTAGGAAAAGTGCTGTTACACTTCACATTGGCAGAATTTGTTTTCTTTTGGAAACGTGGGACCTGTGTCTGATCACCCTCAAAATCGATAGAGTGTTATTTAAAATCCGTGCCAAAAAATAAGGTTGCACTTTAGCCCAGTTCTAAATATTTAATTTTATAAGCTAGTTGAGGCTTTCCTGCACGATGGGAAAATAAATTTTAAGCAACATAATAAAATTTCATTTATAAATTTTAATATTTATATTATTTAATATTTTAATGCGCATGTCTCACTAAAATTTGTTTTGTTTGCGTGTATGAGCCTAATATTAGAAAATAAGTTGAGTAACAAATGGAAGTGCCTAGAATTTCAATTCATTTGCGAATATTTGACTTCCGAGTTCAGATTAATAAAAAGAAGTTATTCTACACACGAAAGAAATTTTAAGCATTTTAGTCTTTCAGAGAACACACTTTTTGTGCTCCTGATGAATGGAAATTGGTTTCATGTGATATCAAGTTTACGCTTGACTAATTGTTTCTCTAAAATTAAAATCTAACTTACGCTGTACATTAGTTTAATATAAAAAAATAAATTAAAGAAGTTATAAAAATATTGATGAAATGTTTTAGCATTTTGGAGTTAGTATTGCATTATGGAGTTAGTATTGTACTGATAAGCATTATTAAAGCGTCCTCTTAGAATTTTATACATGATATTAATATGTATTTTATGCAGTTTAACACATATTCATGGATCATCCACACCATATATGGCCATGGACCTGAAAAAAATCAAATTTATAAAAGGACTAACAAGTTTATTTAAAGAAGAAAAAAAACATAATATTTATAAAAGCTTAGAGAATGCTCTTTTTTAGAAACCTGAGGCATGTGAATATTTTTTTCCATGTAAAATAAGTTTAAGAAAAGTTCCATTTTATTTTTATTTATATTGCTTAGAAACCTCAGTTTGCTTCAGGCAGGTTTCCTTGCTTGGTAGTTTTTTTGCAATTTATATGCCAAAAAAGTGTCTTCTCTAGAATTACCTTTTTAATGTACTCTTTTCTCTTCAGAAGAGCAAAAAAAATTATCAGGGAAATGAATGTTTTTCTTCATGTTTTTAAAATTGATTTTTATTTAAAAACGTTGTGTCAAAACCATTGTGGCTTCTTATTCAATCAAATTATTGACTTCTTTGCATTTCAATAGCATTTTATTAATAGATCCTATGGAAATTATTTAATACTTTCTGCAATGCAATAATTTAATGTAAATTATTTAATACATTCTGCATTGCAATTTCTGCAATAATATACTGTTCACCAGATAGCTGAATAATGATACAAACAATAAAAATTATTTGTATTCAGCAGTTTTGTAAATAGATGAAACGTACTGCAAATATAATAAAAGAGTATACGTGAAAGTGAAAATAAGAAATATCGGCTTGTGAGACTTAATTCCTAGCATCAGCTACAAGTATTATCGTGTTAGTGAAGAACATCTTTTCCGTTTCTTTTTCTGAAAGCCTCTTCTGTTATTTCAATTGAAACATTGCATACGATTAAAAAATGGGGCCAAGGAAATTACTAAACAGTTTTCAAATATGCCTAGTGCTATAAAGGTATATAAGTTTTCAGAAGAAATAAGGAATGATAGATGGCGTAAAAAACGGGAAAATTGTTTAAAACAAAGTAGATTATACGGCTAATTTCTGATAGCAGTGAGGTTATATTAAGGGAAAAAAAGGTGGTATAGGTTGAACCATACGTATCTCCTTAATTTTGTGCATTATCAGTACATTGTTAGGGGAAAGAGATGGAGTAACGTGGTTAAATTATTATAAAAACCAATATGCTTAAAGGAGTTTGGAAACATCATAAATTCTCGTTGTATTCGCGCTTTGTGATACAGAATATCTTCCGGTACTTCAGTTCAATCCATTCTCACTCCAGCAGTGCTTGGCTAACTTGAATACAAAACAGTAACGGTAGATACAATAATGCGTACAAAAGGCAGAGATAAGTGCAAAAGATGTGGTAATGAGTTACATATCATGGCTATGATTAATGTCGGGACATTGGCTATAAGAACACTTAGTCTTTAACATATGATCAGATTAAGAAATTGAGCGCCGTAAGTCCGGTTACCGGGGCGAGTATGCAGAATATAGTCACGAACAGGTGCGTGTTTCCTTATGGGTAATCTTTTCCTGAAATGGGCATAGATTACTTTTCGAAAATATTTGTAACTATTTGATCTGAAATTTCATGAAAGAGAAATACAGTACTAATAGGGCTATCTCTTGCATGACGCATGAACTAAGTAACATTTTATATTATTTTACAAATGCCAAACATTAGTGCTTAAGACACTAGTTCCCTGGCTTTCCAGTACTTTTTAACAATGTCCTCACACCGAGAAAGTGCAATACAATTATTTAAAAGTTCAAAAATGGTGGTCAAGGTGGTCTCGGAAACAGTCATGTCTCTTCAAACGTCTAAATAGAGCTACCGATATCTTTCTTGGAAAACTCGGAACGAAAGCTGTCTCTTCCCCCATAATCCTCCAATTCTTATCCATAGCACGTTGAATCATATCCTGATTAAGAATTTTCTTAACAGTGAAGTTAACAAATAATTTAGTCGCATGAAAAGAAAGCGGTCGATTAATGCGTTGTATTATCAAAAATTCCTTCTTAGCCAATGTATCGGCTTTTTCATTTCACATAATTCCACAGTGGGCTGGAATCCATTAGAAAGAAATTATGTGTTCCATTGCCTTAAGGGGTGTTGGAACCCCCAAATCTTCAAAATGCAATGATTTCGGATTTTTGCATTTTCAAAATCTCTACACTTTTATCTTTCTAAAAATACCATTCTTTAATCTCTATGAAAATTAGAACTGTAAAAACTCTAGTTTTAATTTGTCATCGACTGCTTTAATTAATGAGGATTTTTACATAAAAACGCGTTTTTCTCTAAGCATTATTTTTTATACTCGGTGTATCTTTTTCTCAGGAACTGCTACTCACAGGTATCTAAAAATTTTATGCTTATTTATTAGGTTTCCTAATATTTACTGAAATGAGCTTTTTGTGATAAACTTAGAAAAAAAATTTTGTGTGAGAAAAGTGCTAAATTTTACTATGCCTAACAAAATATTCTGTAAATTACTCTAAAATTCAAAATGTTTCAAAAGCTCATTTTAGTATAAATCAGATAGGTATACTTTAATTACACAAAACATTTCAAGAGTGTATCTAAAGCAGATTTTGAGAAAAGGTACATCGATAATGTCCAATTTAACATTGTCGGTATAGGGGTTGCTGATACCCCTTAAGCAAAGGCCCACAGTCTAAAATTCTTTGGGAAATATTTTGATTATTCAGAAGAGCTTGAAGTGAGTGCTGTTTTGGAATCCGACAATATTACAAAGAGCCTTTACAAAAGAGTGATTACTAATCGACAGCTGTTGAATAGCCACAGCAATAGCTTCTATTTCCAGGCAGTAGTAAGAGGGTCCATTGGTAAGTAGAAGTTAAAAACTCGCTTTGTATACCTGATCTGGCACCGCGCGTTCTCTCCAACATAGAGCCGTCAGTGTAGACACGCAACCACTCGTTTTGAGGATAGTTAACCTCAATAGTTTTCATTGCAATAGATCTTAACTGTGAATCATTTCATTTTTTAAAACTCTTTAGATAAGATCAAGATTTATATTCAAATTTAAAAAGTCCAAGGGGCAATGGGGAGGAGATAAAATTAGATACTTCAACTCAATTCCAAAGCATCAGATTCTTTCTGAGCAGACTGGATAAAGCCAATTTGAGTTTTATGCTTTCTAGAAATTGAATTTCTATTGTTCCTCCAGAAGGGGTTGCCAGGCAAACGCAACAGCTTCTAGTATAATAGGATCGCTTTACTCTTAATACAATCACGAACAGGTTCCAAATAGGTTAAAAGCTGTATTGCAAAAATAGAAGTGGAGTAGATCTCACTGCTATTAACTATGTTAAGCTATGTTATTATATGATTGTATGACTAACTATGTTTACTCTCTTTATCTGTAACGATGTAGTGGCAGGCAAAGGTATCTAAGACCTTTATGATTTACCTTGCATGTATACTGACTGAATGTTTGATAATCAGATTAAATTGATTCATGAAAGAATGACAAGTAAATCAGTTTAGAAAAATTAAAAATAGGTAAATGTTACCAGAAAAGATCTTGATTTTATTTCATGTCTTACCCAATTAATTCATTTTTAAAGCATGCAGTTTATATCGGCACTTGACAGAGAAGACCATATGTGTTTAATAAAAAAGTCACTCAGAATAAATTAAAAGTTACTAAAAAGAATACTATATTTCATTTCATTGTAAATGCTGTCTACAAAATATTATACATAATACTCTGCCTTATGCAATATTTTATCGCATATAATAAAATGTATTGTACTACTACTTTTACAAAATTAAAGTATTAAAAATTAGAACTAGCCACAAAATGTATATATAAAGCAAAAAAGTCCAACAAAATGTTCTACTCTGTTTTCTCTGTGCACTGAATGTCGTTTTCACAAGATGCCGATGGAGGTTGAGTTCAAAGCCGAACAGGTTTAGGGATCCAGGGGCTCCTTTCGGGTGACAAAGAGGCGGA